ATCTGCTCAGCTCAGTTCAGCCGAAGGAACTGTGCTGCTTTTTAAAGGCTCCTGTTCTCATTTGGACGGTGTAAAAGAGGAAAACAGGGCTTGGGTTCTCCTGACGGCCTTTGCTAATTTTGAAAAGCACGGCTTGAACTGATTATACGTTTTAGAACGTCTGAGAGATGCATCCTTTCTGTTTGGGTCAGAGGCAGCCAAGTGTAAAATCAGCTTACACGTGAGGTATTTTCACATGCTCTGTGTCTGATCCTCGTGTGTCGTAACCCCCAGAATGCTTTATGTAAAACACAAGTGAACCAGCTAATAGGAAATGTTTGTTTAGTAATAATAAAAATGAAACCTTTTGATAATTTTGGATTTTAGTTGCCGTCAGAGGACAGATGAGGACACAACTTAAAGTGTGAGCAGTAATGCTTCACACAGAGTGTACACAGTTACCTGACTTTTACTTTATTTTATGTACTGTACAAATAAAACATAGTTTTTTCTTACATTTAGCATTATTTGTTCTTCTTTCAGACATATTTGGATCAGATATTATACATTTTCTTGTTAATTTAAAGGTTTTGGATTATGAACTCCTTTTGTTGCCAGAAACCACAACGTTAACACAAACGGTACGCAGGAACTGCTCGTCTCTGACAGTCTGCACAACGATTTAGATTATTGTTTCTCCCAAATGTTACAAATTACACCCGACGTTAGTCAAAATGAAGAAAAGAAGTATGAAAATGAACTCCTTCCATGGGCTCAGCTGCTCTGTGTTTGGACTCGTGCGGCCCTCGGTGACCTCTGCCAATTTTTATCTCGTTTCAGTCCAACTTTGTAGATCAGACTTTAATTTTGAAGCACGGAGCGCCGGACAGTGATGAATAGGCTGCATCAAGGAGGGCTTAAATTACCCCTCTCCCTGGAGGTAACACTGACCACAAGGAGGGGTGTGTGTGTATGTGGGTGTGTGTGTATGTGGGTGTGTGTGTGTTGACCTAGTAGCAGCAGACAGGGAAAGAAAGAGGGCTGGTCAGCACTTGCCCTCTCAACCCTGCTTGCTCCGCAGCACACACAAGGAGGGAGGAAAGGAGAAGAGAAGGAGAGAAAAGAGAGAGAGAGCACCTCCACTCCATCTTTTCCAGCTCCTCTCGTCATGAGACTCCTTGTTTTTGGTGGGAGTGTGTAATTTTTAGGATTATTTGAGGAGAGTCCCTCACTGCCTTCATGTTTCTTTAATTCAGTGATTTACTCTTTAATTCCATGTTAACGCTTTAATTCAGTGATTTAATTATTTAATTCACCAATTTAACTCTTTAATTCAGTGATTTAACGCTAATTCAGCAATGTGATCATTTAATTCAGCGATTTAACACTTTAATTCAGTGATTTAATTCTTTAATTCAGCAACTTAACTCTTTAGTTTTGTGATTTGACTCTTTAATTCAGTGATTTAATTCTTTAATTCAGCAACTTAACTCTTTAATTTGGTGATTTAACTCTTAAATTCAGTGGTTTTACTCTATTTCAGCGATGTAACTCTTTAATTCAGTGATTTAACTTTTTAATTCAGTGATTTAACTTTTTAATTAAGTGATTTAACTCTTTAAATCAGTGATTTGATTTAGTGATTTAATTCAGTGATTTACCTCTAATTCATTGATTTAACTATTTAATTTTAGTGATTTAACTATTTAATTCAGTGAGTTGGTTTAGTGATTTAATTCAGTGATTTAACTCTGAGCGATTTAACGCTTTAATTCATTGATTTAAAGCTTTAATTCAGTGATTTAAAGCTTTAATTCAGTGATTTAACTCATGGAAGCTGCAGTGCTGCAGATATTTTCATAATAAAACTCGTACTTTGTGAAAACCGTAAAAAATAGAGGCAAAACACTTTTTTTCTTTTTAAGTTTGGGATTTCTTTAAACTCTCCCACATATATTTTCTTCTGTTACTTTATTTGTAACAAATATCTAAAAAAAATAATAAAACTTTTGCACATTTTCCCACCTAAAATGTCTGTTCCATGTTTTAGTTTACAAATCTGAATGCCATAAAATTTGGAAATACAATCTATAAAAGAGGAGTTCTTGTGACTGTTCCTAGATTTAAGCACCGTCTCACGTTTAGCTCTTCAGACATTTGCAGCCTTGTTCCTTCTTGACATTAGATTTCTTTTTCAGAGCTTTTATCATTTAAACTTTATAACACCCAGACGCTGCTTCTTCGCGCTGAGGTCATCATGGAGAAATAAATAAATAAATAAATAAATAAATAGAAAATGAAGCTTCTGAGTTGTTTTTAAATGACAACAACTTCGTGGAAAGTGAAGGAGCTGGGCAATAAATCGAGTCCACCCCCCACGCAAGATCTCATCTGAACTGACACTTTGCAACGTGCATTGAAAGTTTGACTTGAACCGCTGGTGGCTCATAAACGCGTGAGCGAGGCAGATCATATGTGCGCGCGCACGTGTTTAGAACAGAGAAGTAACTTAATATCTAGTCTCTTAGACTCGAGTTTCTTTTCCTGCGCGAGTCTTGCGGTCCCGGGTGTGCGTGACACAGCAGGGGCTAGAGAAAGGAGCACACACGCACGCGCGCATTTAGCTTTGTCCAGCTCTTTAATAGAATCAGTCAATCTGTTTCTGGTGAACTTCCCCACGTGCGCATGTTCACACTGACTGAACCCCGCAAATCTTTCTGACTGCGCGTGTTTGTGTCCAAAAGGTGCCGCCGCGGTCTCATGTCACAGCATGATCCCTGCTGCTGTGACCGGGACAACAAGAAGCTTACAGCAGTGTCAAAACGGCTTTTAAACTAAACTTAAAGAAACAAGAAAAGACGGGAACGCCGCTCTTTTGGGAGGACCTTGAACGCACCACCGGCCTCAGGTTCGGGGTAAAGATGGAGATGATCCCGCAGCGCCCGAGTTTCCTCTCCTGCTACTGCTGAAACTATTTGTTTATTAGGTTAAAACTGAAATAATTAAAACTAAAATAATGACAATAAGGAGGAAGAAGGAGAAAAACATGTCTAAAGAAGAGATGAGAGGAATTAATTGATTAAATGTTTAATCTGACGCAGAAATACGAAAGTAATGTGGAGAGAGACACCCCACTAAAGTCCCAAAGCTGAAGGACAGAAGACCATTCAAACTGGGGTAGGGGTCTCTTTCTCTCTCTAATCTCACCCCCCCCCCCCCCCCCCCCCTTCTCTTTTTCTCCCACTCTTCCACACACGTGCGCGCGCTTTGATTCAAACATCTTCGGGTTCAAACGAACTTTTTATTTAGTTCAAAAGTGAAAGTCCAAAAAAAAAAACTGAAGAAACAGGAGCAACATGGTGGGGTCCTGAAAATCTTCAGGAAATAACCCCCCCCACGCCCCAAGTTACATTATGGGGCAACACGCACGAGACTGATTTATTATTATTAATATTTTCTTTCTTTTTCTTTTGCATTATCCTTTAACACCGGTGTGATTTACTTCTGACTGATTATTTCACTGTGATGAAGTAAGAAATGATCTGATCTGAAGTCAGTGCCATGCCAAGACGGGGTGGGGTGGGGGGGGGGGTTACAAACCTCCTCCTCTTCCTGGTCCTGAAGGAGCGCGCAGGGAGTCTGAACCCTCTCTGATGATGTGAAATGAACCTTTCAGCAACAACAAAAAAACTTAGTTGGAGTCTTAAAATCAATTTAAAGTAATTAAATACTCAAACTAATCACATTTAAACTTGTTTAAAAAAATGGATAGTGTAAATAAAAGGCGAGATTTTTTTAGACGCACGAGCAAACATTTTAGATCAGAGTCTATGAGCGCGCAGTGACGTGCACGGACAGCTTAGTGTTTTTATTTAACAACACTTAAAAAGCGCAGCTGAATGTTTGAACTGAAACCACCAACCTGACGTGAACTCTTTCTTCTCCTCGTGTCTGTGTTTGCTCGCAGTGAGGAACACAAACAGCTGAAAAACAACAAACAGCTGAAAAACAACAAACAGCTGAAAAACAACAAACAGCTGAAAAGCAACAAACAGCTGAACCAGTGTCTAAAGAGACGCGTTTTATTATTTCTAGAAGGGGACCGTGTCAGTCAGAGAGGATGGATGGGAGCTCCTCGCTGGCCAGGAGCGCGTGCTCGCTGCGTGTCAGTTTCTCGCATGTCCTGTGGGAGGGGTGTTGTATAGCGTCGCAGGGAACGTACGCGCGCGCATGTGAGTGCGTGTGTGTGTGTGTGTGACACTGATGGATGCACCAATGGAAAGACGGACAGATGCTTGGGCGGATCTAACGGCGGGCGGTGGAGGCGCGCGCGCAGTCAGCGCGGGGAGATTCAGCGCGAGGACATCCTCGTTGTGCGGAGACACGGAGTCCGACCGAGCATCCGAGCGGAAGAAGGAGCTCCTGGGCTTGACCCGAGCCCTGATACAAACGCGGAGGCTGCGGGGGAGAGAGATCAGACCCCCATCACCACCACCACCAACACCACCACCACCGGCGGATCCAACCCACGGACGGACTGTTTCTGTGGTTAGCCAGGAGCGCGAGAGGCGGCTGCACATCTGGCTCGGAGGAAGGCAGGAGGAGAGAGAGAGAAAGAGAGAGAGAACAGAGGAGGAGGAGGAGGGGAGCAGCCTTTGGCAACTTACCTCCCTTGTTCTTCTCTTCCCTCCACGAGAAACCTTTGATCCATCCTTCCGCCTCCGGACTGCCTGAAAAAAAAAATAATCAAGAGAATATTTCTCCTCAAGTTGAATAAAAACAACTTTTCTCCGTTTGTCACGTGACTCACTGCGCCTCCACCAGTTCAACCAGCAGCTGAACTCACCTGTGAAGGGAGACACCAACAGGAACTTTCTTCCGTTTCTTTAAGTTGGGACAGGAGGTGGCGGAGCAACATCCTGCTGGTTTCAATAACTCCTCCCGGGTAAAAAAGGAAAGAAGAAAGGGAAAGAAGAAAAAAAAAGAGATAGACCAAAAAAAAAAAAAGAGAGAGAGAGAGAAGTAGCATCAGCAGCCAGTGTGGCGCTGGAGCTCTGCTGATCCGTGCGCTCCTCCACCAGGCTGCCTGCACAGGAGCAGCCTGATCCCGTCACCTCCTCCTCCTCCTCCTCCTCCTCCTCTTGTACATTATTACAACAAGGGAGACCCAATCAAGCACGTATCTCATCGATTCGCACACACACACGCGCGCGCTGGCACGTGCGCGCGCGCCCATGCTGACTGAAAGACTTGCCCTCAGCGGATCCTTCAAAGCGCTCTCGGACAAAATAAGGCAGCCGCGCGCCAGAGAGGGCAGCGCGTGGGCGACACCTTCTCCTCTTCTTCATCTTCCTCTCCGCTGATTTTTATTTTTTTATTCTAATTCTCCCTGACTGATCAGCTGCGATTGGATTTTTTATTTTATTTTTATTTTAAGAAAGATGGTTTCAGCTCCTGACTCCAGAGTCTGCGCGGAGGAGGAAGCTGGTGGATAACGGGACAGAGGAGCCGCGCGTAAAGTAAGTGCACTGCGTGTTATTTGGGTATTTTACACACATCCACGGCTGGGCAGGTTGGGGGGGGGGACGTTAAGCGATCAGGGGCCAGAATAAGACAGAGGATGTCAGGAAGAGAGTGAGAGGGCTGCTGGAGAGGCAGAGGGAGGGAGGGAGAGATATGTGACGCCGTTCAGCGGCAGAGAGAGGCTGGACCGCGAGAAGAGGCGCAGCCTTCACTCGTGTCAGCTCGTCATGTGCGCACGCTTGTTTGCAGACTTTTGACTGACGCAATCATCTGTTTTGTGTGTGCGTGTGTTTGTGTGTGTGTTTCCTAAAGCTCGCCTGTTGCAGCCCAGAGGATCACACGAAGCGCTTTGCTCCCCGCGTGGATCGCGCACCCCCACAGGTTTTTTCCGCTTCTGTCACGTCCATCCGAACCCGAGCAGGAGGGAGAGCGCGTGACCGAACCGCCGAACAGAGAAGAGAGCGAAAGAGAGAGAGAGGGGGGGACACCACGCTGGGTCCCCAACCCCCTCCCGGGCTTTGATCTTCGCTCGTACCGGCTCTGATTTTCTTCCAAAGCTGCCCTCCGTCCTCTACTTGAACACACTCCCCACCTCGATCTATGTGGGAGCCCTGAAAGCGCACCCAGGCAGGCGGGGGCGGGCCGGGGGGGAGAGTGTATCAAAGCTCGTCGGATCCCCCACGCAGCCTCGGATCACCGTGGCCACAGACACACTCCCTGCCGGGCCCGTGAAGCCGACATGCCGCGGAGGAAGCAGCAGGCGCCCCGGCGCGCCGCAGGTACGCACAGGCTCTGTGGTTTGCATGCGTTTTGCCTCCAACTGCCCCCCCCCCCCCCCCCTCTTTTTTTAACCCCCCCCCCCCCCCCCCCATCTACACTTCACCTTTTTATTGATACTGGTTCCAAAAGTATTTGGTGATCTGAACAAGCAGCCTCACTACAGGACTTGTGAGAACTATTCTTTTTCTTTTTAACACAGACCTGTCAAAGATCAGAGTTAAGAATCACTGTTATTAGAACATTTTGGTTTACGCTGAACTATATATATATTTTTTTAATTTCTTCTTTGATAATTTATTGTTTTGTTGCTTTTCAAACAGAGTTGTGCCACTTCGAGTTACTTTTTTTCCATGTAAACACTTAGTTGTAGGATTCCCATATTTCATGTACCTTTATGTAATATACACAAGATTATCAAAGGGCAATATTTATGTTAACATATTCCTAAAAAAAACAACATTGCACTTTTTTTAATATAAACAATAAAATATGTGTTTAGATCTTGTGACATATGTATTTCTCTAAAAGGGTCACAGGTCATTAGACAGCTCTTGTGTTTTACAAAGTTCCTTCGTAAAAAAAAAAAAGTTTTATTTTATTTATTATTATAAATGTTTTATGGCAGGACTTATTTTTCTTCCTGCTTTCTGTTTTTGTTCTTACAAGGAGTTCTTTATCGGACTTTTATTTCTTTGTTTTCTCGCTTGATGCACCTCCTTCTTCTTCCGTTTCTTCATATTGACTGCAGGGTTAAGGGTCTATAGAGGAGCTGTCCTTGGCGTGGGTGTAAGCAGACACCTTAGAGATGCTTGACCATTTTCTTGGAGGACACTTTTTTTCTGGCGATGCTGTAATTTTAATGTTTTCTTGATATATTTGCCTTCCTTTCACAGTTATTTTTTTTGTGGATAATTCTAATTGGCCATGTAACCCGAGCTTTCGGTTCCCTTTAGGTCCTGATGTAGTCGCCTTTCTGAGAATCCTTAAAGGTGGAGCATCTTCATGTTCCGTTCCTCGTGTCGGTTTCACTTTAGTTTCTGGGATTTTTCTCATTTTCTCATAGAGTAAAGATTATTTCACAGGTCGAGGAGGGAGTGTGTGCTGAAACAAAGCTTTAACGGACAATTGCCAACTTTGATTTGACGCCTGATTGATCAGCCGTCATCTGGCTGTACCTTTGATCTGTTCATTCCCAATAAGTGTCAATAACTCGGCTCTCTCTCCTGATCTCCGTTTGCTTTGAAATCGGGGCCTCCTGCAGTCACGTCTGGCTTCACAAACTGGTACACCCTTGTTTCTTTTCTTTTATTTCTTTGTATGTATTTTCTATTTTTACTACCGCTGCTGATCCTTCACCACCCAGTTTAAAACCAGTTTACGGCTAACTTGTAATACTCATTGTGTACGCAGACTGGTACTAAAATATAGCTATTACTGGGAGGAGGAAGATGGGCTGCTCCGTCAGAGGGGCCGTCACAGACTTTGTTTCATATTTGATTTAATTGTCTGCCCTCTGACAGCCACATTCATCAGTGGCCCTAATGGTCAATCAGAGGTTGGCACGCACACACACACACACACACACACACACACACACACACACACACACAGGGAGTCTTGTGTATTGTCATCTCTGAGCCTTACTTGATCAAAATGTTTCAGCCTTAATGGACACAGTGGATGGGGGGAGGAATTGGTTGACGGATAGATGGATGGATGGATGAATGGATGTACGGATGGTTGACTGAAAGCTTTTTCATCTGGAACGAGGGAGTAAGTGTGGTGGCAGTGAGAGCGGGGAAGAAAATGAGGCGGTTATTTCTTTGATGAGCGGACGAGAAAAAACACGAAGCAAAGGAGGAATTTCATTTTAGATTATTGGCAACTGTCTGTTCTTTATGCTTTACGTCTCTTTCATCCTCCCATTTCCTACTCTTCGCCTCCCTCCCTTCTCCCCCTCACCCGCCCTCACTCCAGCTGCAAGTTGTAAGGTTTAGGAGAACTGGGTGCCACACAAAGAAGTGATGACAAACTGATTGCGCTCTCGTAATGGCAAGAGTTATGGGAAGGCTGCAAATTATAGGTCTTGATTAGAACTTTGTTTCTTTTTTTTCTTGTTTTATTTAAATTTTTTTTTTTCAGTTCTAATTTGCTCTTTGAAACGAGAAAATATATATATATTTTTTTAAAAGCGCAGATTTGGATCTTATTACCCAGCAGAAAGAATATAGTTCCACATCGGCGTCAACGTTATGTATTTTAATAAAACAGCTGTATATAATATGCATGCGAGACTTTAAACACGGCCTTTACTTTCTAAAAAGACCTCATCATCTTCTCCACATCATCACCACCACTTCATACACTTCCCACCCTGATGTCGCGGCGCACTCAGCCAGCTAAAAAGAGGAGTTGTTTTGCCAGCTTCATTAGCGTTCTCCTAATTAGCTGAACATCTGATGGATCTCTGACAGGCCTAATGATTGGAGATGACAAGCTCTGCACACTGTCACGCTCGCCAATTAGGTCTGCGGCATAGCTCGCTGTAATCAAGTTGGTCTTACGTCGTCCTCGTTTGGCTGCTAGTCCACCCGCTTTTACGTTTGCCACCCCAGCAGGTGAGGGTTTAAATGGTGGAGCGCAAAGTGCGAGGAAGGATTGGGCTTGTTGGGTTTATGTTTTAAAAAGCGTAGTCCGGCTCATTCCCTATAAACACGTTCCCTTTGACATTGTTTTACTAGAAAGGGTATTTATTGTTTTAGTGGTCCTGATAGAATAGAAGACAAAGCTCCCGCAACCTTTGGGCTTCAAAGCCAGATGAGACCAAACAGATCATTGTTAGTGCAGAGGAAGTTTGAACATCAAACGTTCAGCACATTTAGCTTCGGAAATGCTACATAACTTTGGTACTTGCATGCAACTCTATTGCATGCAAATACATGGTTTCCGTAGGATACAGGACGTTTAAGTTGCCCCCTGCATGGCGTGAAAGGGGATTGTCCTTCTTCGCGCCCGCCGCAGATTGATGACGTTGACATGGGTCATTATTAGCTACTCAACGACACTTTCCTCTGAGTAGAAGATTTTTCACCTGCGTTGATTTCCCAGAAACACCTATCATCAGCATGGTGTCCAAAAGGGCTAAGCATGATTTATGTAAATATTAACATCAAGACAGATTTGCTTCTGTCCGGCAGGAGATAGATGGCAGCCGAGGGGGGTAAAGCAGCTGATTTCTGTGATTTCTCTGCTTCTGAGGATGTGTGTGTGTGTGTGTGTGTGTGTGTGTGTGTGCATGCAGATTTGCAAGAGCATGTGATTGATTGTAGATGAGAGCGGGAGATTAATCATGCTTGATGTGTTAACGTTGCACTCGCGGTGGATCTAAGTCGAGATGCAGTGGCCCATTTAAATATACTCACTCACACAGATTCACAGTAGGGCGCGGGGAGACTCACACACATTCACACAGTCACATTTTCACCTTGTTTGGCAGGAAATAGGACACAATTCTAGCAAAGGCATACCATAGCATAAAGGATGCTTTCATACAGGAGATACATGCAGCAAATAAAAAGCGTGTTAATAAAGGATGACATCATTTTGGATTAGAGCTTTTGTTCCAAATAATGAATGACAATATGGATTAAATGTTTAGATTTTAAGGAATTAAGAATTGTGACTTATTTTTCCAGCAATACCACAACAGACATGTATTTGCAACCTCTACCATCCATCCATCATTATCTTTACCCGCTTCATCCTTCTTGGGTCGCAGGGGTCAAGCAAGAGGCGAGGGACACCCTGGACAGGTCTCCAGTCCATCACAGGGACACACATAGAGACAAACAACTATTCTAGCTCTCTCACTCACATAGGGGCAATTTAGAGTTACCGATACCCCCTTTAATAATGTAATTTGTTGTATTGGCTCATGTGTGACCAGTTACATTTTGCTTCATAATATACATTTAACTTTGCTGAGAAAGGATTTCTGGATAAAAAAAAAAAAAAAAGCATTTTCTTTAACTTTTTCTTAAGATAAACAGTTTTATGCAATGCCTGTTTTTCACTTTTCAGTTCAGGATACGTTGCCACCTTTAATTTGTTTCCTTTGTGCCTACTAACACTCTTCAGCATTTCAAAGCTCGTCACCTGGAAATGACCTTTAAGCCGTGACAAAAGAAGTCCGTCGCAGAGTAATGAAATTCAGAGGTTACTCATCCCTGAAGTGAAAGTCGTACTGCGGTTTCTAATGAAGTGGACACTTGGAGAGTGTGGACACTAAACATGCTCCAAAAGTGGAGGAAAAAAAACATTCACAGCTTTAGATTTTGGTCTTTTTGTGTTTTTTTCAGTCAAAACGCTAACAGTCCTGTTTATGCTCAGATCTCATACTATATGAAATATAGAAAAGGTTTGTTGTTGGTGCTGTCAATGCCCTGAAGGGGATGATGATAAGAGCTCGGTGAGCAAAATACAAAAGGAAATACATTTAAAAAATGACTTGAAAGATGTTTTAACAATACTCTTTGGTTATAAAGTGCTATACCAGACGGAGATTGGGATCATGTGAAACAGGCTAAGGAGAAGTTGAAGCTTTGACACATTAATGAGCGCAGTGACCGGCCAAGTTCATGTAACCAACAGAAATATGTTCTCTAGAAGAAACACCAAAGTTCATGCTCCATAATCCAGGTAAAAATCCATCAATAATCAGTCAGGTCATCTGGACAGTTTCTTTTTTTTTTTTTTTCTGAGACATTTCGTCCTTGATCCAAAGGACTTATTCAGTCATTGAAGAAGTCCTTTGATTGATTCATTTGGATGCAAAAAAACAAAACAAAAAAAGAAACCATCCAGTTGACCTGACTGAACATTGTTGAATTTGTACCTGGATTATTGAGCATGAACTTTGGTGTTTTGAACCAGTTTGGCATGACTGCCTCAGAGGAGTTGACGAGTGAGAGAGTGGGTCCCCGAGGCCATCTCATCACCA